CGCTGGGCGGGAACAGAAGTTTCCCCAGATGTCCGCAGGTAACCAGGGCACTGCAGGCGTTTAGAGTTTTAGAGAATCACAGGGTGAAGTATTTTCCACTTGGGGCTAATTGTCACTGTGGGTACAGTGCCACTCCAACTACTGGTATTTAAATAGCTGCATCCCAGTAATGCCCCAGTCAGACATCCATCCACCTCTGTCCCCCTGCCCCTGCTCTCAAACCAAGCCCAGCCCAAGAAATGCAGCTGCTGATGATTCTCTGCTTTGGAGCAAAAAGGAGCAATCATGGAACCACGACCGAAGGAGCAACATGTGGGTCTCCTCACTGGAAGGGCGGCTCCCGGAGGAAAGATGTGCGGTCTCCAGCTCTGTCATCTGGACACCGGGCTGTAAAGGACTGTGCTGCGGCCGGGACCTAAAGTCCTGTGCACCCTGAACGGGGTCACAGCCGGGTTCCCCCTCTTGTGTCACGGCTCACAGGAGATAGTGAGCTCCCCCTGCTACTGATTGGACTGTGTTCCTTTAGAACCGCAGTGGAGGACAGTTAGGTGATGTCCTCTTGTTATTGTCTTTACCGTAATATGTAAAATAGTTTTCAGAAATGTTTCCTTAGCGTGTTTTTCCTTTCCAGTTAATTATATCTGTGTTTTTCTTTTTATTTGTTCTTTTATTTGGTGGTATTAACTCTTTCAAGACCTACTGATGGCTTTAGCATTGTTAACCATGTAGTGTTTATAAACTCTCCTGTCTATCAGATTTTTTTTCTTTCTTTTTTTGTTTTTGTGGTTTTTTTGGAGGCAGGGTTTCACTATATGGTTCAGGCTGACCTTGAACTCACTGTGCAGCCCAGGATTGGTTTGAACTCACAGTGCTCCTTCTGCATCCCTCTCCCAAGTGGAGACATTTAGTTTCTCTCCAGCTTAGTGTTTCTCGGATGTTCCCCAGGACGGCCTTATGTTCTCACGTGTTAAACGTTTATGCCCTTACTTGAGTGGGATGCTTGCCTGGGATGTCAGGGGTAGGAGTCTTGGTCCTTTCCTGGAGAGCACAGTGGCTCTTGAGACTCACGTGCCTGCTGTGTATCAGGTCTCCCCTGCATGTCGTTAGGTGGTTCAAGCTGAGCCCGTCCAAACTGCGGTCCTTACACTTGACTCCAGCCTGTCCCCGCACATCCTTCTCGTCTGCATAAAGGGACGGCGTCCCCATGAGCTGTCGATCTCCTGCTGCCTCCAGAAGCTGCTGGTCTGCCCCTGTGCCCCTCTGCCGGTGCGAGCTCCCGGAGTCACCTCCAGCCGTGTGTTCCGGTGTCTTCTCAGCTCTCTCCCCCGCTCCACACCTCGCCCTCCGTGCCAGCGCCTGTCCGTTCTGCACACACCCAGGAGCGTGGTCCTTTGCTGTCCCCTCTGGGTCACATCACCCTGCAGCTCAGCAGCCTCCTGGGACCTCGCCTGGCTCAGGGTGGCTTTGTCCTTCCCGAGGTGGCTAAGAAAATGAAGCTGTCACTGGTTACCAGGATTGGAGAGCAGGAAGTGCTTGTCATGTTATTAGATGTGCCATTACTTTTACTGCTGGGTTCAAGCTATAACAATCCAGCTGAACATAGTCCAGGACACCTGTCATCCCAGCAGCAAGGGAAGCTGAGGCAGGAGGACCACACGTTTGGTGTCCTGGGCCACTTAGTGACTTCATGAGACCTTGTCTCAAAATAAAGGTTGGTTTGATCCTCAGTACTAAAAACAAAAACAACAAACAATCAAACACCTAACTAGCTTGCCTATTTTTAACTCACATTTTAATTTAAAAATTTGGTTTTCCTGATTTCAAATCTTAGACCTTGCGGTGAAATAATTAGGTCATGTTTTTAATGAGAGTAACAAAAAACAAAACAGAAAAACAGCACCCAGAAGCACTCAGCGACATCATGAGTATTCAGAGTTATCTCTCGCGCTCCAGAGATGCTCCCGCAGAGTCAGTGGTGGGGCATTGGTCCTGTCTTACCGGAGGAGGAGGCTGGGGTTCCTCAGCTCGCCCGGCAGTGGAGCAGGTGAATGGATCCGGTGTCGTCGGGAGTGAGGATCACCTGGGTTTTCTCTTTTGATTTATTCGGTTGATTTTTTGCCACGGAAGGGGTCCTTCCTTCTTGGTTGCTGGGGAAATTGCTTGAGGATGAAGAAGAGAAGCTTCGCAGTGGTGACAAAAGTCTTCAGGAATGTTGTGGGTTGCAGACGTGGGTAAGGGTGGAGAGAAGTAGGTTATGCTGGAGCTTTGGGGCTTCCCAGGGAAAGCGTGGCCGCAGAAAAGTGGGTACAAACTGAGACAGGATTTCGGTACTCACGCTGCCGAAGCAAGCGTGCCAGCTGAGGTGCTGAAAAGAAAATTGTTCGCAGGGAGTATTTTTGTTTGTTTGCTTGTTTTGAGACAGGGTCTCGCTATGCAGTTCAGACTGGCCTTGAACTCACTTTGTATCCCAGGCTGGTCTCAAACTTGTAACAATCCTCCTGCCTCACCCTCCCGAGTTCTGGGTTATTGATATGTATCACCCTGCCCAGCTCACCAGGAGTATTTTAAGAAATGCTAGAAACAGATTTATTGTGAGTAAGACAAATGGGAGTAATGTTGGCGAGAAGGAGGGCCAGGAGCTCAGTTCTCGCGTGAGTACAACCTGTTTCTGTGACGCTGAATTTGCCTTGGAACCTTTTAAGTGTCCATGTCTGGGGTCCCAAGTACAGTCGTCCATTTTCAGAGGATTTTCATCTTCCTGGACTGAACACTAACTCCCCATTCCCTATTCCCCAGCCATGGTGACCCCACCCTACTCTGTGAACTGGCCTTCTTTGTACCTCCTTCATGTGGAATTGTGTCATATTTGTTCTTTCATGACTGGCTTATTTCACTTACCATAGTGTCTTCCAGGCACACCCACTTGGTAACATGTATCAGAATTTCCCTCCTTTTGAAGGCTGAATAATATTCCATTTCATGTCTCTGCTTCATTTTGTTTATTCATTCATCCATTGATGGACCCCGGGTTGTTTTTGCCTTTTGGCTTTTGTGAATGAGGCTGCTATGAATATGAATGTCCGAATATCTGTTGGGATCCTTCCTTTAATTTCTTCTGAGGATGAAGCCAGAAGTTACATAATAGTTCCATTTTTAGTTTTTGAATAATCACAGAATCTCGGTATCATGTTGGTAATGTTCAACATTTCCAGCATCCTCACTACCCTAATGCTCTTGAGTTTCTGTGTTTTGTCTCTACGATTCTAATGAGCGTGAAACGCTATCTCATTGTGCTTTCAACTTGCTTTTCAGCACTAATTAGTAATATTGAACATCTTTTCATGTGTTTATTGGTCATGTGTATATTTTATTTGGAGAAATGTCTGTTTTGTGGATTCATAAGATATCCTTATGCATGCTGAGTAGCAGTCTCTAATCGATCTACGACCTGGCAATATTTTCTCGCCTGGGTTGAATTTTCATTGTGATGATGTCACCCTTTGGTATGCGAGCACTGTACATTCCAGTAATGTGTAGTGTATTTTGGTGTCATCCTCAAGAAATCATTGCCGAACGCAGTGTTATGAAGCCTTTTCCCTGCCCCTCAATTGTTTTCTTAAGAATTTTGTTGTTTCAAATTTCATCATCTGTTTGGGTCTTGGATCTGTGCTGAGCTGACTTTTGCCTGTGGTGTAAGATGAGGGTCCGCCTTACTTTCTGTAGCACTGTTTGTTGGAAACGCTGGGGTTTGTCCTTCAAATGGCCTTGGTACTCCTGTTCAAGGTCATTTATGTATATATGTGAGGGTTTATTTCTGGGCATCCTACCCCATTCCATTGGTATTTATGTCAGTGCCATACTGTTTTTATTACCACAGCTTTTTAGTAAGTTTTGAAATGGAAGTGTGATCCCCACTTCTCCCTCCCTCTCCCCCTCTTTCCTTTCCCTGGTCCTCCCTTCCTTTGCTTGTGCTGGGAAGGAACACAGAGCTCCATATGTGCTGACCTTTAGCTCCCACCCCCATTGCCACCCCAAGCCTGGTTCTTTTTTCAAGATTGTTTTGCTTTGGGGAGGGACTGTGTTCGGGATTCCATATAAATTTTTTCATTTCTGCCAAAAATGCTACTGGGATTGAGGCATCGCCCTGAGTCTGTAGCCTGCTTTGGGTCATTGGTATTTTAACAACATTGAGTCTTTGATCTGTGAATACCAAATGTCTTTACATTTATTTGTGTTTCTTAAAAAAGTTTCTTCCAGCAGTTTTCAGTGTATCACTAGTTTGTCTCCTCGGCTCTGTTTTTCCTAAGTATTTTATTCTTTTGGATGCTTCTGTACCTGGAATTCTTTTCTTAGTTCCCTTTTCAGATGTTCATAGTTAAAGAACAGAAATGAAACTGATTTTTGAGTGTTAATTTTGTATCTTTGTTGTATTTTGTTTTGTCTTTTGAGACAAGGTCTCACTGTACAGTTCACACTGGCTTTGAATTCACTTATGTCACCCAGGCTGGCCTCAAACTCACTGCAATCAGCCTCCAGAGGCTGGGATTACAGGCATGCACAGCTATGCCCAGTTTAATTTTGTATCTTGTAACCATCAAATTCATTTATTCTAGATTTTTTTGTGGACTCCTTAGGGTTTTCTACTTTTAAGATAGTGTGATCTCTTAACAATGATAGTTTTATGTCTTGCTTTTTCATCTGGATGCTGTTTCTTAATCTCGCCTGATTGCTCTGGCTAGGATTCCCATGATTGTTGATTAGAAATGGCAGTAGTGGACAGCTTTCTTTTCTTTTTTTTTTTTTCACTTTTTTATTTTTTAAAATTTATTGAAAGTAGAAATTCAAAGTCTTTGCTTCTAGAACCACCAACAGCTCACCCATGGATGCACTGGACAGGCTCAAAATGTCCACCTCCGCCACCAAATGTGATAGCTTTCTCCCATCACGGAGTCTTGTCCCACTGGTACTATCCAGACACCATGTGAATGTTTATAGAGTACATGTGTAGGACATTTGCTCAGAGGGAAGTCATAAGTTGTGTGTCCCTCCCACAGTGACCCTAGATTCCTGTTGGATGTGTTGTGAACAGAGAAGCCACCTGGCCACCTGCTCTGAGCACACCCCTTTAAATTTTCTTTCTAATCTTAGAAGAAAAGCTTTTTGTCTTTCATCATTCAGTGTGATGTTAGCTGTTGTAGCTTCCTGTTAGCTTTTGATTTTTTTAAAAAAAGGCTTGGGCTGGGGCCCTGGTTCGGGGGTAGAGCTCTTGCCTTGCGTGTACAAGGCCCCCGAGTTCAATCCCCAGCACCAAACAAAACCACCAAACTAAAACCCAAAAAACAAAACAAAAAACCCCTGACTGGCCGGGGGTATAGCTCAGTGGCTCAGTGCCTGCCTGGCAAGTACAAGGTTGTGAGTTTGATTCCTGGTACCAACAAAACAAAACAAACAGAAAACCCTATAAAACAAACAATCAAAAGACAACCAGAAGATTAGATTATGAATGGAATGATTAATCGGTTGTATATTAGGTAGCGAATTTGGGGCAAATTACTTACTTCTGTGAATTTAAATGGCTTCATTATTAAAAATAAGGACATTGAATTCGATTTGGGGATCTCAAACTTGAGTGCATTTGGAACCACATTGGTGGGTCGTGGAAACTGTTTTCACTTGTATGTCTGTGTGGGGACCAGAGATTTGCATGTTGTACATCTTGGTAATTTGGACGCGGGTGAATTCATCCTCTCCGCGGCTCAGGCTCACGGCCCTGCACTTCTGTGAGGTCCCCTCCGGGGTGTGTGTGTGTGTGTGTGTGTGTGTGTGGGTGTCCGTGGGGGCAGGTGGGACCTGGCTGGGCTGCTGAGCCTTTGTTATGGCCAGCGATGCCTGCGCCTGTGGAGGGGCTGGCACCTGAGATTGGGGCTCTGTGGGAGCACAGAGGAATTACCCATGTTATTTACAAATGAAAGGACTAGTTGGCTCCTGGGTGGCTTGCATGAGGTGATTCAAGGAGAAGAGAGTTATTGAAAAACGGAAGCAGAGAAGGAGCTGAGGAGGAAATTCCAACAGCAGTGCTGAGAAAGCAGAGTGGAGAAAGGTGCACCGGGAAACTGATAACCGATTCCCATAACTTACACACGTAAAATTAGCGTAAGTGTCTGTGTGAGGTTAAGCGGCTTCTCTGTTATATTTATCTACATGAGCTAAAAATTCAGAGTTCATAAAAGTCTAAAATGAACAGCAAGTCCTGACACTCATTAAAGGCTGCCCACTGTCTGCTTTTAGTTCTTGGAGCATTAAATAATTTACCTCTGCCCTATTTTTAGATTTCCATCAACCTAAGAGATTATTTTGCCTGGCACTAGGAAAGGTGCCTAGGCCACACCTTTATTTTATTCCACTGTATCCTTACTTGTTAACTTTTTATATATTTTGAATTTTCTGTGGCTTTTGGAGTCATTTTATGGCTAACCTGGCCATGCGGAGACCAGTTAGGAGAACACCATGAGTGTCCAGGGTGGAGAGTGTGGCCTGCCAGAGAAAGGTGTGGAAGAAGGCCGGGCCAGCCTGCTCAGTGCCCAGGGTGACGGTGGCCGGGTGTCTCTGTGGGTGGCGGGGAGGTCCCTGCGGGGAGAGCCTGGGAGTGTCCCCCAGGGAGAAGGGTGTTCTGCAGATCGTGGAAAGACAGCTTAGGAACTTCTAAACACAGCCTTGTACTCACTTACCATTCTCATTTCTTCCTGTTTAAATTACAGTTATTTTCTTCTGAGTCACAAAATGACATTTCAGAAGGTAGGGAGAAGCTGCCACTTAGGGAAGAAAGAAAGCCGTATTAAGTATCTTTATCAAAGATCAAAGTTTTGGACTGTGTGGATTTCTTTCTTTCTTTCTTTCTTTCTTTCTTTCTTTCTTTCTTTCTTTCTTTCTTTCTTTCTGTTTTGGGGAATATGGGTAAGCTCATTTGGCAGATTTAGACCTGTGGTTTAATTTCGAATGCTCTCTATGGATATAAATTCAGGAAAATCCGATTCTCCTCAGATGGATTACATTTAACTATCGGAAGAACTGACCACCCCTTTTCTGTGTGCCCCTTGCTTCCTGCTGTTTGGTGGTGGCTGCAGACGATTTTGAAATGAGGTTGAGCAGGTTCTGGGTGAAGGCCGCACATCCAGAGGGTGCCTGCACCTGCAGCTCCGCTGGGCATGGAGCAGGGCTTTTCAGCCAGGGACGGTTTGGGCCCGGAGGACTCCTGGCAGTGCCTGGAGCTGTTTGGGGCTGGGATGCTTCTGGTGGCTTGTGGGTGGAGCTTAGAGATGCTGCTGCATGGGGTGCAGGCACATGCACGGGCCAGGCCCCCACAGCAAGGGAGACCCAGCCTCCAGCACCATCAGAGCTAAAGGCGAGGAACCCTGAGCAGAACACGCAGGCCCGGAAGTTAGGCAGGTGGGAACCATCATCTTTCTGTCCTTAACACTCTGTCCTATGCTACCTCCATTTTCTTACCACGCCAGAAGTCTTGGTCTTTTGCTGCTGTGATATAAGTGCTGCGTATTCTTGCAGATCCCACAATTTTTTTTTTTTTTGTCTTTTTCCTTTTTATTAGTACCGGGGATCGAACTCATGACGGCCTGCTTGCAAGGCAGGCGCTTATGCTGCTGAGCTAAATCCCCAGCCCCGATCCCACAGTTTTTATTGTGTAGGAAGCTTGCTAAGGTAATGTTACCTGCGATGGAAAGCAGAAAATCTTCATATATATGATTTTTAAGTCTTTTGGCCACAATAAAAGTGTTGAATTTATTATAGTCTCTTATCTTTGGAGAAAAAATTCATGCTCTCTCTGTAGTTTTTATTTTGGACTACTTATCAAATATTAATAGCAGGATGTGCTCTGTAATTATGACTAATACTGCCTTGATGTTATTTGCTTATTTCAGTTAATAAAAATATCATCTGAAATACCTATAGTCAAAATAATTTAAAAGTTGTAGAAGTTGCTTTATTTATTTCTTATTTGTTGACATTTTAAAAATACTTTGAAGCATTGTGACTGAAGATTCAAGGAGAATTTCTTTCCTGTCATTTGCTTACTTACATAGCAGTCCAGGGGACAAACGTAGGGAGGAGAGATTTTTTTTTTACAACATTACAACATCTTTTTATTCCTGTATTTCATAAGATAAATTTTACTACATTGGTAAGAGGCTTTGAGGAATGTACTTTATTTAGTAGGATGTGCAATATAACTTAATTTCTGTGACTTGAGATCAGGCCATTGAAATGCAAGTAGATAGTTAAAATCCGTAAGTGTATATAATTTAATTTAATTTACTTATTTAGGTTACTGAGTCTTGAACTCAGAGCCTTTTAATGTTTTTTAAAATTTTGTTTTGTTTTTAAATTTTGAGCCAAGGTCTTGCTAGGGTACTAAGGCGGGCTCAAATTTTGGATTCTCCTACCTCAGCCTCCCAGAGTGCTTGGATTATAGGTGTGCCCCAGCACGCCCAGCTGTATACCTTTAAAAATCTGTTAAAATGAAGTGTATTACACTGTAGGCCTAAAAAAAGTGATATATTTGAAACACTAAAAGCAGTAAGGAGAGCAAACTTCTAAATACAGAAATGAATTTTCAGCAAACTGGAGGTCAGCATTACCTTGGTATTATTGGAATATTTGTTGTATATACATGTATGCAGATGACTTGTGCTTGGTAAGGGAAGTACCCATTTGCTGATCATTCTTAAGTGATTTTAACAAGTATGAAACACGTGAAAATGATCATGTTGGTTTTGAATTCCTTTGGTGATTTTGGTGTGTGTAATGTGTCTTGGATTCCAGAGTGGCACTATCCTAGTGAAAATGTTGATTTAAAAACATAGTGCATGGATGGCTTTATACTAACTTCTGTAATTTTCCTTTTTATCTAAGCTATGTGATGTAAATCCCAGTTGTATCAGTAAGTTTTCTGCCGAATTTACTCTTTTAGTTCTCTCGGGAATTTTTGTCTTATTTGCATAAGCACTGACACTTGTGGGTTATGCCTTACTTAGTCCTACAGTGAGCATTAATTGAAGGGTAGAGCTTTGCCCAATGCCAAGGTTCCTGCCGTGGACCTGACGGCCCCCTCCATCTCCACTTGCATATCTCCTATGCATATCACATGTACAAGGTCCCAAACAGGGCTGCGAATTCCTCCACCACCTCCTCCTCCTACCGTCTTCCCCGCTCACAAATTTCCTTGCTCCTTGTGGTTACTCTGGCCAGATGTTTTGGAGGGCGCTGTGTCACCTCTGTTTTTCCTGTCAAATGCACATGCAGCTCCCACTGGCTGTGTTCACTGTCTGCCCGTGGTGTCCACTGTGCACCGTCTGGCCATGGTGGGTCCAGGACTCTCACGTCTGCCTGCAATTGTCTGTCTCCAGGGTCCACGTGGCCTGGGCTTTTCTGTCCCATCTTGCTCCACACCGTCTTTCTTGTCATCCTTGTCACCACTCTACCACGCTGCCTTTCTCCCTTCACTGCTTACCTTTTCATCTTCTAACCTTTCACACTTCTCTCCTTCTTTCCATTTGTTTCTTGATTGTCTTTACTCCCCTAACCTTAAAACCCAAACTAAAATGCAGACTCTAGAAGACCAGTGCTTCGCCTTGAAACAGTAGGAAAATGTAATTATTTGTTGAGTAAATAAATAATTTCATGCATGATGTTGAAGCCAACGAGCAGGTATATAATCTGAGGAAACTGACATATGTCAAAGTACTATTTTTATTTTTATAGGTCTTCAAAATTCCGTGTAATTTCTTGGTTCTCATTTGGAAATAGAATAATAAATCTAAAACATTACCTCATGAGACTGTCATTTGCTTACTAAAATAAATAGAATTTTTTGTATAATGGTTATGACTCTACATGTTAAAGATTTGTGCGAATACAGGTTGAATGGTTGATATTTTGCAGAATCTGTGGAAATTGCCTGTTAGAGAACGTGAAGTCATACTGAGCCTGCCTTTCCATACCTAACTTTGGGTGACCTACCTGCGCTTTGATTGAATTATGGAACAGGGCATCTCGAGCCTTTGTGTCTAAGAACTGGCCTTAAGAGTGTTACTTAGTAGGTTTCTTGG